TCCAAAATACTTTTCTGAAAAGGGAAATCTCGAGTGGAGGGGTGAAGAGTTCACCGAGGAGAGCAGAAAAATGTTGTTTTCACTTCTTTTACCCTCGCGACGCCGTGATGACGTGGTCCACCTACCCTGAGCACCGCGGCGACGTCCTGGTCCTGGGGCAGGTCCTCGACGAGTTCCCAGGTGCCGCGAGCAGCCTGCTGCGCCGGTCGCTCCGTCTCGTGGTTGACGCCGACGAGGCAGTAGCGCGCGCCCACCGGCGAGGAGGCGCCCACGGCCATGCAGCCGTCGTAGCTGCCCAGCTGGTAGCGCGAGCCCCACAGCACCCCCGAGGACACGCGGGCGCTCGCGTCCAGCACTGGGCGGGGGGTGGGAGCAAACAAGTTAGTGCTGCTTCCGCTCGTCTTCAGAGTGAGCGACAAGAGTTCAGCATTTCTAGTTCGGCTGCATACTCACTCCTCACCGCCCACAGAGTGCGGTTGCTTGCCGCAGCCACCAGCGCCCGGGTGTCGCGCGCGCACTGCCCGCCCGCCCCGTGCTCGTCGAGGTTGAGGCCGGCCAGCGGGCTGAGGGCGGGCAGCGCGTCCTCCATCTGCTGCGGGCTGGAGGGGCTCACCTGCAAGAGTAAGTCACTCGCGTTTACGGGTGCAGGCACCAGCCCTGGGACGAGCACACCTCAAAACTTGAAGTCGCGCGGAGGAAAAAAGAAGTTTTCGGCAGTGGTAACCGCAGTTGAGAGAGACCCCTTTACTAAAACGTCTGGGGTGTTCCGGTGTTACACTAACGGCTAATCTAGTCACCCAACTCATCAAGAGTTTTTTCGTAAACCCCCGGGAGTGTACGATAAACAAGTTCGGGTAAAACTTAGGGTGCCAGACGCTCTAAACGAACGATTGCTTGTGAAGACCGAACTTTTTTTTCTCACTGCGTGGCCAGTTGGTGGACTTACCCAGGCGGCAACGGCGAGCACCAGGAGGCACGCCCTCGCGGCGCGCGCCTCGGCCATGCCACCGACCATTGAGCCTCTGGAGTTGCTGCGGCGGGGCTGCTTTGGCTCCGCTGCAGCGCAACAAGAGGTCCTTCTGAGGCCCGGCCGGCGTGGTGCGCACTACTTGAAGGCGCAGCAGGATCCGCAGGGTGAGAATCCCAATCGAAACTGACACACGCGCTCGCCGCCTCACTTCCGAGTCCAATTTAGCGACCCAGTGAGAAAGGCAATAAAATGTAAGTCAAATGTGTTGCGGGGAGGAGGAGGGGGGGGGGAAGAGGGCGCTCGAGGACAATGTCAGCAGTGAAGTTACCTGTCCTTGGGAATATCCTGAAGATTATGACGACCACAACAACGGCGAGGGAGTAAGCATTCAGAGGGAAAGTGAACGAAATAACAAAAGTATTTTAAGGGCAAAATGAGTGACCGACATTTTTGGAGGGAGAGAGGTACAAAGATTGCTGGCCTATTAGTAGTGCTGCAGGCAGAGGAGTATCAATATTTTTACAGAATACCAATCCATGCGAATGTTTCCCTCGAAACATACTTGGGTTCACTGTTTTGGCCCTCACTTGCTCGCTCAGCCCGGCTCTGAGATGCCCGTCACTTTCCGCGTTGCTGCGGTGGCAGCCCTTTGGTAGCGTTCGTATCGCGCGGGCAATCCGAACCGATACTGAGTGGGAAGAAAATAAGTTAGGGCCAATAGTTAAAGATCGGTGTTGGCAGAAACTGATGAAGTCCTAGAACACGTATGTCCGGATCCTCAATAATAATTCTCGTCATTAGTTTCCGCTCGTTCGGCTCACATAGAACTATTCTCCCTTATCTTGATCGCACCCAATCTGCCGATTAAAGCCCATGAAAAGAGCTTTCTAACGCACCGCTTTTTGCTTGCGAAATAGATAGTCCAACGCCGAGTTATAGATGGAAATATGCAAGAGTCGACTCTTGACTCGCGATATCGGCTCACAGAGCAGGCTTCGGATCAAAGTTTGAAAATCGGATTTCGACCGCGCCTTGCGTCTTATCTTGTGGGCAATTTCTGGCCCACACCGTTTCCGATGCTCACCTTGTTTTCCTCGAAAAACGTCGTACTTGCCTGAAAAAAAAAACAGCTCCTTCTTCATCCCGTGTCACAGTCAACATGCTACGAATTCCAAGTAGGAACAGAGTGCTAGTAGTTTTCCAATTTTTGGCTGAGCGATACTGAAGCCCATGACTCTACAGGCCTCGTCGTCATCATCATCATTATTCATTTTTGCGTCCAGATTTGAATTTAGCCGCCAGTCGTTTCTAGTTTCCCCAAAATGTTTAATAAATTACAATCTTTGACCGCTTAGTAAGCGGTTTTGGAAAATACCACCTACCCACGTGTCACCGACGTGTCACCTTTCAGTAACGGCTTTGATAAACTGACACAGACGAACACCTGGCTCAAAATTTGCGGGTCCGGAGCCGCGAATATTCCCTCCAGCCCTCACGCCACGCCACACCACACCACGGCTGCGGTTCTCCGGCCGGCAAACGGGCGGGTGATTTTAGATAGGGAGGGGCTATCAACTACAGACGGACCACCACAACGACCATGATTGAACTGCGCGCCAAAACTGCGCGAGTGCAGAGGGCTGTGACCCGGCCCGTGTCGTGACGAGAACTGACCGTGACTCACGCGTGACCGTCACAATACTGCGAACCAAACGTTTTCCGTCCCAGCCACGCGGGGGCGGGGGGTGTGCTACGCAAGTGCCACCGTAATTTACTGGGATCAGAGGATTTGACATTTTGCTTCGTAAGGTTTTAACAGTGCAAGCTCTCATGGCGCCTGGTGGGTAGGCAACATCCTGCATGCAGTGCATACGTGTAGTGCGGTGTGGCCTACCCTGAGTCTCGCAGGCGCCGAGCTCCCGTAAATTAGCCGAACGTTTAGGCGTGTAGTACCAGGCGGGAATCCGACGAAAACTGACAAATGTTCTGGACGAACCGAAATGAGTATGCAACCAACCACTTAGGGCACGGAGACGGGGATGGAGCCGGGGCCGGGGCCGGGGAAGCGAGTGAGCATGTTGGGCTGCCTATGGCGAAGGAGGGGAAATGCTGAGCACGAGTGCGCAGATATATCGACCCTTTTAACTGTCTTTGGATTTATTGTTTTTTATACGTTTTTTTCCTTACTTTACATTGAGGTCAACAATATGTACATGAAGCAAAGCGATAATGCAGGTTACATGTAATAGGGCGAAATTATCGTTATATTCAGTTATGAGTGAACTAAAATAACCTGTAATTTACTCAGGGCCCGGAGATAATCAATCATTTTGAAACGCAACAAACTTGCTATGTTAAGGTTTGAAAACAAGATCATAAGGAACGATGTCACATACATTTTTGAAAACGAGCTGGAAGACTTCGCCGATAGCATCAGCAACGCCAGGGCCGAACTCCTTCGCCAGGTCCTTCCAGTTTTCATTGAAGAAGGTATTAAGGTTTCCCCCTGAAAATTTCAACATTATATCAGTAAAATTTACGGTAAAGGTAATGTACATTACTAGAACTTCTAACTTCTAGCTTACCGAGAAGACGATCACCATTGAAGAGATTGTCAAACTTCAGTGACATGAAACCTATGTCATGGAGGGTGATTTTGGGATCAATGAGGTCTAAATATTCTTTTCCATTGGATCTCTTCACAAGATTCCAGCTTATGTCGTAGCTGGCTTTCATGTTATCTGGAAAATACAGGCATGGGATCATTTTCAATATGCCAAGTAGTGCGTATATGCGCACGACAAACCGAGGTTGTAAGTGAACAACAAAAATTACGGTGTCTTTCATGATAAAGATGTGTGGACTACTTACGGACTGTAATATTGGAGGGTCCCGTCCCCGTCACGGGAAGAAGGAGCACTCGCCCTGAAGCCGTATAAGTGCCAGTTATACTCATCTTCGGAACGAAGAAATTGAGTTTCAAGTGTCTTTTTGTCACGCTCGCTCTGCAATCATAAAATATGGAACAATTAAACTGCAGTTCGATAAGGTTCGATGCTTACAGTACATCCTTTCCTTTTTTGTCCTAACAGTACCAATTTTCGACTGAGTTGTATTTTGAGATAACCCAATGCACCTTAACGACGAGACAAAAGAATAGGAGGGGCATTCTCCAGACAAGCAGGGCTAAGCACAGGGCTAGCTAGTAAATTGACTTGTTCCAAGGACATTTACTTGATTCAAGAACCTCGGTTTTGGGAAGTACCTTCAGTACCCTATCTGGGTCAGGTAATTCGCGGTTCCTGTGCGTAGGCAATTCACAGTGCACCGGCCTTCTCGTTTCGTCGCCTGTTGTGTATGCTCGGTACTTACTCACAAGACTGAAGATCGGCGCTCGGCAAACCATGAAGTGCAGCATCTTTCCATGCCAGCTTCAGACCCACGGCCTCAGTACCCTGGCGCAGTCTCAGCTCGGGGATCACCAATGGGTTCAGATTAGGAACTCGATACTTTGGCTCGCCTGAACACGGACATGAACACGAAATGATTACACTCCATGGTTTTCGGACTACACGGAATTTCAAAACGCCCATTTGCGGGTGAGAAAATGCTATGTAGCATCATTCTTCACGAAAACTCACCATTGATCATTTTAGGAATGGCATTTCTTGCGTTTTTCAGGATGCACTCGTTTAGTTTAGGGTCAGTTCGTGAGCAAGAAGAGATGTAGGGCGCTGTAAAAACAAAACAAATTTTTATTGGCATTGCGTGTCCAAACCGAGGTCAAAATCCGCATTTTAGGAGCAATTTTCATGGAACACAAAATGTAGCTTTCATCCAGGTAACAAGGCCTGCATTTCTTGCGCATTTTAAGCGCATTTTAGGCGCATCAATGAGCCAAAAATGCGCCTTCATGGAGCGGCCCTGCTACCTGAGTATGCGGAACTACTTACGTAGGTGCTTCACGGCATCGCCAAATTCCAGCGCAGCTACCAAAAGGATGGCGAACAATTGGATCTGCCCGGCTGCCATTTCAGTGTTCAGTACACACTAGAAAACAAAATAGATCAATTATTGGCGAGTGTGCTTACTAGCCTAGCCATAGTAAGTCTCTATCAAACTCTGGGACTCACCTCTCCTTGTTCTCCAAGACGGTCTCGGCCCACGGCGAGAGAGAGTGCGAGGGTCGTGTGCGCGCGCTGCTGGGGCTGGAGCTGGACTGCGGCGAGGCTCGCCCCGCCCCCGGCTAAATATGTGTTACATCCCCGGCCGAACTCGTCTCGGGTGTTTGGGTGCATCGGTCGGGCGCCTCTGCGTGACTTTGGCAAATAAAATAACAAGGAAAGCAATCCGATCTGGTCGGTATGTAAATCTGACCCCTTCCTCCCTGTTTCCCATCTCTTGCGCTCGCATCTTATCATCCGTCAGCGTGTCCTTTTCTGTCCTTTTCTGCCCTTTACCTTTGAATTGCCCACCGCCCACCGCCCTCCCCGCGCCCTCACCGCGTATTGATAACTCGCCAGGCGAGAGTGTTATTTTCGTCTCTTTTTTCGTGTCCGAGCGCCCAATAGCACTGGCCGCACATTTCATTTGCAAACCTGTCCGGGGATGCGGCCGACGACCCAGCGTCCAAGTTTCTCACATTGTTTCGCCTTTGCGCGAAGGTAACCTTGATCGGCTTGGGGACCCCCGGGACTCCCGGCCCGGACTAGTTTGTCGGTAATTTGCCGTACCGACGAACCATGCGGGCGTTCAACCCCACGCGACACAGTGACACACAAATATTCCACAACAACGCTCCTTGCGTCCGTGTCCTCGTTCGACAATGAACTCCAATGCGTACAACGTAATACTTACATGCCCGGCATGTATACTTTAAAAGATGCTTATAAGTCCGTATGTGTGTATGCATTCATATAACTCCAATGGGTTCGTTGAAAAGTAAACACGTTCTGCATACTGACGGCAATGTGTGTTTTCATTTGTAGACGGGGATGTGTTACAAGTGCTTACATGCACGTGTACCAGGGCTCCGTAACTCATCATAATGCAGACGAATGTTAGTTATTCAACGTAAAAAAACACATATCAAATTAAAAGTTAAAGTTATCGATTTCGAAATATAGTCGATATTAACAGTACATACCAGGTGGCTGATTAACCCCGCGCACTTCCGTAGTTAGATTGTACGGCTTGCCTATCGCCCCTATCCACGGCGCCTTACGGGCCGGGCGAGGAGGCAACCCGCTCGCACTCGTGCGTGCGGTACAGTCTAACTACAGAAGTGCGCGGGGTTAGTCAGCCACCTGGTACTGTGGGCAAAAGTTGGACAATTCGAATAACTAACTTATTTCCAAATGACTACAACAGTAAAAGTTACCAGTTATAACTTTAACTCTTCAAATAACGTTAAAGGCAGTTACGTAATAAGTTACGGACCTCTGCGTGTACACATGTGCATGCGTGCATTTATTAAAGAGTATATGACAAGTAGGCCTATGAGCCAAAAAACGCACACAGTTTAAACATTTGAGTTGCCAGAGAAGGGCAATCCAAAGTTATGTAGAGTGCCTCGCAGATGCGCAATCCATATTGAACGACCAGCACGACAGACACCCCGGACGCCGTACAGCTAGGCAACCCATTGGTCGCGACCGAGCCTTCCGCACGCGAGTCTACCAAAGAGTCTCACAGAATTTGTGTACGACTTTTCACCACTCTACGCCGAGAAAAGCCTTCAGAGTGGCATGTGTGGAGTGGAATGCCGACAAGTGAGCAAGACTTCTTTTGGTCCAAAAAAACAACCTTCGTATAGCGCTCCGCGAATGTGCATCATTCGCCATGACGACCCGTAACGCGGATAAGACTAGAGATACAGATGCGACTTTTAAATGCTTTCAAATGGATTTATTTTTCCTAAAATTGTAAAGAATTCATGGAACTAACATTTCAAGAATAAGAAAATAGAAAGTATACATCGAGCAGTCTTCAACAGAAGTAATATCTAACAAAATCTGTGCAGGTAAAAGTGTGGGTATTTTTTTTCTTTTACTTATTTGACTCACGTGGTGCAGAATCCAACTTACATCAGTCATGTATAAAAGATAGTACATATGATAATAAGCAATACCAGCCCTAGTAGGAAAATTGATTAATTAAGGAATGTGTTGTCACAAAGCGGCAGCTCATTCAGAATCATCATAGTCAAAAACTATCTCTAGATAATACTTTCGAATAATTTCATAAGTGACGATTATTACCAAATTTATATATTATCAGACAAGTCAATCAGTCTAATCAAAACCACCAAAATAGAACAACCACATGCGGCCAATGTAATAAATTTTAAGCCGCATGTCAAGACTGCGATCGATATGCCGTTTCCTCGCGAGACTGGTTGTTTAGTCGCATCGTCGTCGGCGGCGTCCTTCCGGTCCCCAAACGAACAGCAGGCCTGCCCGCCTTTACAGGTCGACGCCGAACGAGGCGAGGAAGTCGGTGGAGGAGGCGACGAGGTCCGTGAGCCGGTCCTTGGTGGCGGCGCTCAGGCCGGACTGCTTGAGCCGCGCCGCGCTCACCTCGGCCGTGGCCACGTGATGCGCCATGTTGTGGATCACGCGCACCTGGCGGTCGCCGGCCGTCAGCACGAACTTGCCCGTGGAGTCGAAGCGCACGCAGTTGATGGGCCCTGGCGACAAAAAAAGGGGGGCTGGATGACACGAGCACGGCGGCCAGCCACAACGAGCAGGTGCGGATCCAGGCAACCAAAGGCGCGCCGGATTAGGGCTTTAAGTTTCTAAAAAGGCATCTTCGGAAAAATTTTCAAGAATTTGTTTAGTAAATCTCCTGAGTTTTTCTC